AGCGCTAAAACGTCCACACAAAATGTTTTAGCGCGCTGCTGCAATCCGAGGACAAAATGTTGCTGGTCTTGGGCGCTAAAACTTCCTGATCAAGGGTTTTAGCGCCCTACTGTTAGAAAAATACTCTGGTCTCCAACGCTAAAACGTCCAAACCAAGTGTTTTAGCGTTGGAGTCAGTTGGAGACAGTTGAACTTTCACCGCACATGGACGCTAAAACGGTCATTCATGAACGTTTTAGCGTTCAAGATAGTTAAAAGCAGTTGAGCATCCGTCAAGCATGGACGCTAAAACGCTCACTCATGAACGTTTTAGCGCCCATGTTTGTTTTTCTGTTTGAATTTGTAAAACTATATAAGGCAAGGTCCTTCACATTTTTAGAATCTGGATTGTCTCTCTCTCTCTTACATCAGATTCTCTGATCTGACTTCTCTGTAAATTTCTTTAGGACTTAGTTCTTGTATTAGTTAGTTTCTTATGTAATTGTACTTAGAGATTGAAGATTCACTGCATGGTAATGGAGTTTGATCTTTCTTCTCTTGTGTATTCTTTAGTTATGTCTGAGTAGAGTCATTGTGGTCTGAATTCAATGGAACTTAATGACAATCTTACGTATGTTTGATTAATATGATGAAGTATTTTTCATGTGTTGATATGAGATTTTCTTATTCAATTCTTTCTACTAAGGAAGTAGTGTAGAACAGGAATGTTTACACTACTCCTATATTTGGCAATCTCATCATCAGGATTCTAGTACTCAAGGGATTGATGCTAGAGTTCTGATGTAATCTTAAGACTTTAGTGTTTAATGTATGAATTAAGAAAGGAATCACCAAGGGATTGGGGTTTCTGATTAATGTATCTATCAGGGTAGTAAGGGATTACATCTTGATGATAAGTAAAAGGTTGATTAACATCACATGAAAAAGAATTCATCATATGGTCAGTTTTTTACATGAGTTTATTGTTGAGGGAAGTTGTTTTCTGACTACTTGTTTTTATTAAATCTTAATTCAGATTTTAGCATTATATTCTGTTACTTCAAATCAATTTTCTGGTGACAAAACATTCATGATTTTTACAAACTTTTGTTTGATTCAAATTAGTTTTCTATGGTTAATTGGTGTTTGAATACAAATCTCTGTGGGAACGATCTTTACTCATCATTTTATTACTTGTACGACTAGTACACTTGCTAGATCCGCCATAGTATAATCATCAATAAAAGAGATAAACCACTTAGCACCATAAACATTAGGTACCTTGGAAGGCCCCCAAACATTAGTATGAATAATGGTAAAAAGTTCAACACTTTTTATTTCACTAGAAGGAAAGGATATGCGATGATGTTTTGCAAATTGACAGACATCACAATTAAAAGACTCAACAGACTGCGACACAAACAAAGACGGAAACATAGACTTAAGTAAATTAAAAGAATGATGACCCCAAACACTTATGACGAAGCCAAATAAGAGAATCTGAAGTAGACTGACGAGTTATCAAAGTCTGATCCCTGGTACCTTCTGTAGCAAAGTCTGGAACCAGATAATACAACTCACCCTGCTCCTTAGCAACTCCAATCGTCTTCCCGTGGTGAGATCCTGAAAAAAATAATGAGTAAGGAAAAAGATTATAGTGCAATTCAAATCTGTAGTAAACTTATGAGTAAAAAGAAGATTGGTAGAAAATTGGAGAACATGGAGAGCATTCTTGAGACACAAGGAGGGTTGGATTTTAAAGTTACCAGAACCTGCAACTAATGTGTGACACATCAGCTACAGCTATAATACGGATACCAACAATAGGATTATAAGAAAGAAAAAGGTCATTGCAGCAAGTTATATGATCAGTAGCACCAGAATTCACAATCCATGAAGTTTTAAAATCAATACAATAAGCAATAAAAGAATAAGTGCATAAGTGTCATAGCCGAAGTACCAATACCATAAGGCTTATTGAGAGATTCAAATACGGACCTAAGCCGTTCTAATTTCTCACGACAAATAGTAGTAAACTCACCAGGCATATGTGAGGTCTCATTCACAAGAGGAATGTCTGAAGGGGCCAAAAAAGATTAACCACGTGGGGATGACTTACCAAGCTTCTCCAGAACCTGCTGCCTCCCATGAAGACAGTAGCAAACCTCTTTTGTTTGACCTGGTCTTTTACAATAATTGCACCAACGCCCCTCTTTGTTGGGCTTAAAGGAAGAGGACCCCAGAGGTGACTTAAAGAAAGAAGACCCCTAAGGTGGCTTAGCCAAGATCATAGCAGACTCGTCAGTGGGCTTAGAATTATAAGGAGTTGAAGTAGTGACTTTAGATGAGATCATGACAGATCCTTCAGAGAACTTGGCATCCATCATAAAACTCTTACGACTTTCTTCACCCTGACAATATGAAAAACTTCAGAAAGAGAAGGTAATTTTTCCTTACCAAGGATTTGAACCCGAATAGGATCATATTCTAAATTGAGGCCACAAAGAAAGTCAAAGATATGATTTCGTTCAATAGAGCAGCCAGAGTGGCCGCATCCTTGCTGTACTCCATCTTCAAACTCTGATGCTGATTTAGCTCAGCCCATAATCCATTCATAATTCCATAATACTCTGTTAGAGAGAATGAGCCCTACTTGGTAGAAAAAATCTTATTCCTCAGATCATAGCAGGTGGCGGCATCTTGTTTCATTGAATAGGTCTGACGAAGAACATTCCAGATCTCAAGAGCAGTAGATAAGAACATGCAATATTGACTTACCTCATGAGCCATAGAGTTCCATAGCCACGTCATAATAAGAGAGTCTTAATCATCCCAATCAGCAAATTTTGGATCTGCTTTGACAGAAATAGGTCTTTCAAGATGAGCAATCGTACGACGCCCTTTGAGAATCGTACGAACTAGCTGAGACCACTGCAAATAATTTTTTCCATTAAGATGATAATTCTGTTGGAGAGCAGGCAGATCATTTGGAGTAAGAGAAGCCATAGAGGGTGTAACATATGTCTGATTGATCAAATTATCTTCAATGTCAGACATAAAGTTCGCTGAAAAGCTGTCCAATCAGAACAGTAAAGGTCCAACGTCGTCGGAATAGTAACAAGGAGACTAGAACAGTAACAAAGAGAAGGAAAAACGTTGTGGGAAGGTTGCAACAGAGTCAAAACCATAAGATAATCACAATCCAAACTCAGAAGAAGGAGGCGAGCTGATCTGTACTGGTCGCACGTGAAAGGGTGTCTCACGTGCCTCCATACACCTCTATTCCATGCGCGTGAGGGAGCATTAGAAGGAATCTCGAGGTGGGTCTTGGACATAGGAGGTCGCCTCGTCGTGGCGATCACAACCGTGGGTGGATCGTTGAAAAACTCTTCGGAGACGGTAGTCAACGATGGTGTTTCAACAATAACAGTGATCAGAGCGTCAAACGGTGGTCCTTTCATTTCAAAAGGTCCCCGGAAATATTTTTCAGTGGTAGCTAGTAGCGACGAGAGGCAAAATATAAAGGTTCTTTTTTAAAGGCGATAATGCGGAAGCAAAGCTCACAAAATCGAGAGCTCTGATACCAATTTGAAATGAAAGAATTGTATATTATTAAATTGTATAATATCTGTACAAAGATTCTCTATTTAAAGATATTAAAAAAAAAAAACTTAATCGACTAAGATCAAAGACACTTTTAGAGTATTCTAGCTAATACAAATAATAAGTAAATAATTACAACATTAATTCTAATATTTACAATAGTTTATAAATAAAAAAACCAGACTATAGCCAAGCGGTCAAACTTATATTAAGATATTTTATGAAAATAAAATAAAATATCAATAATCAATTATGCTGATAAATTTATCAATATTTATCAAAATTGTTTATTTGTAAAACAAATAACCAAAAACCCTAATAAAATAACTTTGTTCTAATCTAAAATAAATTAAAATGTTCAAATAACAAAATAGTAGAGAAATATCTTAAACTAAAAAACCTAAACTTAAAATCAACCCCAAAATTACTTTTACAACCACATAAAAACACGACGACTTTCACTGATGAGATCTTCAAGAAAATTTAAAAGGTATCTTACTGATTTACAACAATAACGTGCTAGTAAGATCTCGCTATATGAACATAATTACTAGCAAGGTTTACTCAGTTTTCAATCAGACACTGAAGGGAGGGGAGAATTAACTTACGGAAAGGCTTAACATGTTCAATCAGAGAGCAACCAAGAGGAGAGAGAACTCCGGACACGAGAACACGTTCAAACCAATTTAAACAACTTTCCTAACATGCTGAAATAAAAAGATACAAGTTTATTGAGAGACAACAACTATGAATAACTAATGAAATCAATGTTATTAAAACTGAACCGGTCATTGACCCAGTCGAGGTATTGGATCACTGAATCACTGATTCAATTAGTGAGTCACTGATTCCGCATGACCCGATAATTATATGCAATTTTATAATTTATATTAAAAAATTATAAATATAATCAAATATCTAAAAAAATTGAAAAAAATTTCAAATATTTTAATATAAAAAATAATAAATCACATACTATTATCCAATAAAAGATCAAACAAAAATATAATGATCGTGATACAATGCTTTAGGTTCAGAAAATGACATCTCTAACCATAAATCCAATCAAAATTTCCTGCATAACGCATAATGAAGATAATATTAATGTTGTAGGAACATAACTTATGTAAGTCAATAAGCAAAAAAAATATTCAAATATGTCCATTATATATATTTATTTTTTTTAAATTTGGAATTATTATTATTTTTTGAAACCAAGCCAGATCACCGATTAACCGATCAGGTCACCGGTTGTCATAAAAACCGACCGGATCGCACTGGTTCTGATACATGGCCAATCCATTGCTTTAACCGGTTCCCGGATCGACCTGGCCGGATGAGTCCGGTTTTCTTAACACTGAATGAAATACGATCATTCAAACTTTATAGAAACATCACAAGGTGGAAACATTCCACGAACCTTAAATACTCCTAATGCCACAGTAATCTCCAGAGACATGTTAGAAACTTGAAATCCTATACAAAACATGAGGACAATGGCTAAATTATATTTTTTGTTGGTATTTGATACACTGCAAGCATCTGGTAAATAAAAAAATAACTCACAGGAAAAGGTTACAAAACTTGGGGTTTCCCCCGCCAGACGATAAGTGCCACTTTAGACCTGAGCTTTACAGAAAGAACAATCCCTGGTTTGGCTCATGTTCTTTCAACTTCGCAGCTTTTTCAGTATGAGCGGATGAGTTAACAATACATGCCCAGATTCCTGAGTTCAGAACCACGTCTCTTCATAGCTCACCTTAGTAACATGAGCAACTATTATGGTGCCTGTCAACTCAAATTTACATTTACAAGATGAAAAGGTGAGAAATTAATAATGGGCCCTCTCATCATTTTCTAATTGCAAACCCTCAATGCCCTTGACTGTAGTTTCATAATTCTTGACATGAGAAGCATTTCTCCCAGATGATACTCCTCTCTTGGGATCTGAAGATCCAACTGGTGAACTTCTTTGCCCACTTGAAATTCTGTGGGCTGCTACAGGGCTAGCATCGGTAGTACGAGTACGAAGATCCGAATCAACAAATGCATCTCGGCTACTAGAAACAGCAACTCGCCTTGATGATCCACTTGACTGGCCCAAGATATTGGCACTTGATAACTGCATGATTAGAAGGTGCAAATATTGAGTTTGCAAGAGTAAAACTAGTGTTGGTAGAATATTTTGACATCACCATTACATTCATAATCAGTTGAGTTACAGAAGAACAACAATAATCTGAGTTTTGAAAAGGACCATTCACTCCAAACAACTCACCATAGCTTCCTTATCAACAGCAGAATCACTGGTGACTGGATTTTTCTGCTTTGAAATATTTACAGAATTTAAAATGGGCCCTGACATTCTTCTCCTTGAGGAATCCACTGAAACCAGACCAGGAGGTCGCCCTTCTTCCCCTCCTGTAAAAGATAGGGAGGAAAACATTGAAACAGAAAGCTCTGGAGATGACCAGATACCAATTAAACTTGGAAATAAAACAGAAAAGCTGGTAGAAAACCTATTACTGAGTAGCTGAAAAGCTATGTAGCACTGATACCGACACGCAACATGTGACACGATACCATACGATACTCCGACACGTCAATTCTAAAAAAATTTGAATTTCGACACGCTCGAACACGTTTTAATATCAAATAATGTTTTTAGTTTATATAGTTTACATTACATTTAATATTCGATAATTTAACAATAATATGAAACTAAACTGATAAAAAAAATTACGGAATAATTTTTTTTTTTTTCAGAATAATAAACCTGTAGCAAATAGCAAGCATAATAGATTACAGAAAAGGAACGAAAAAAAAAGTGTATTGATGCAAAAAATAAAAATGTATGAACAATAGTGAAGGAACATCCAAAAGTGAAAGTCCAGAAAATAAACCTGGAAGAGGGGAGGGGAGAGGGGGGGGGGGGGGGGGGTGTATGAAGTGTATTGTTACCAGCAACAGAAAATAATAAACCTGTAGCAACCAGCAAAGAAACCGAGGGCTCATCGCTTGGAGATGCAAATGAAAATAGGTTGTTGTCCTGTCGATGGGTTGTCATCTTGCAAAGTTGCAACTGCTGCGCTCATTCGCTCACCGTCGTAGTTGCAAGTATCACAGGCCGCCGCACCAATATTTGGCTTAGGGACTTAGGGTTTTGTTATTAGAGAGAAGAAAAATGAGTTGTCGATGTCTCTTTGGTCATGGGTTTTGTTAATTAGAGAGAAGGAAAAAAAAAAAAAAAAATGATTTTTAACTTCTTGTTAAATGTTTTTTAATTTTTTTAAAATTATTATTTTACATTTTAAAAATTATAATTTTATTACAAAAATGTCATTTGACCGTGTCGGACACGGTCAAATTGGTCAACCTGACAAAAATGTTGACCACGCGTCGAAGCGTGTCAGAGTCTCCAACACTAACACTTGTCAGTACTACATAGTTGAAAAGTAGAGACAATATCAGAGGAACAGCAACAAATAGGAGACAGCTAAAAAATAATTATTTTTGAAGAAATATTTAAATTGAGAAAATATGAGAAAGAAAAGTTTTGTTCACACCAATGACAGTAAGCTACATATAGCATGGGTTAGACTTGAATATACTAAGAAAAGCATACACTTAGGCATTATTTGACCAAACTTGAATGACAAAAAGAGAGAAAAAAACTACCTGTCTGTCTATCATCATTAGTCATAGGCGGCAGCATTCCAGAACTAGTTCCAGCACTAGGACCCTACAAAACAAGCATCTCAGAATTCTATCCATTTCTGATGACAAAGATCCTAAAGGAAAAAATTGGAAGAGAAAAGAAAACCACATACAAAGGCACGCGTTGGACGAGTAGCTAGCTGTGATTGCTGATATTTCAAGATGGTCCAATCAAACACATAATCAAACTGGAATCCTGTCCAAACCCCAATGCGATGAGCAAATACACTAAATGGTCCTTCATAGATTGTAAAGCAAATTATACCAGAAAACATACACATGAAAAACTTGAGGACTGAGACAAAAGGGATGCTTTATATATGAGAATAATTTCAAACCTTCACGAATAAATAGGTCACGGAATATTCTTTTGAGGTAAGCATAATCTGGCCTGTCATCAAACCTTAATGAGCGGCAGTAATGAAAGTAAGACGCAAATTCTGTTGGATAACCTCGACACAAGGCCTGGAATAAGCAATAAATTATATAGTGCACAGCATGCATTGAAGGAAGTGAATAATAACAGAAGTACACAACCCACCTCAATTGAGGTAGAAACCTTTTTTTCACTGATTTTCTCATACTTCTGTTTCTTGGTTCCTGCTTTAAGTCCTTGCCAAGGGAGGCTACATATAAAATGAAAATCAGGCCAAAGGCTTTCATCACAGTACTAGAAGAAAACAATGTGGAGTAGACAGCAATAATCACCTTCCTCTGAGGAAGTACATCAAGACATAACCAAGAGACTCTAAATCATCTCTTCGACTTTGCTCTATGTGCATTGATCATCAAAAAAGTACCGAGCAACATGTATCAGTTAGATAACACGACTAGACACACAATAAACAAATGCCAGGTAAGAATCATATTGTCAGACATACCAATGCCAAGGTGGGTATTCATGCTAGCATATCTCGCAGTTCCAGTCAAATTCTTATTTTCCCTACAGTTTTAATGATAAAATCAAAGTTATCAAATGCAGATTACGGCATGTCGCAGCCAACCCCAGAAAACGCTATAGGGCTATAGCGGGTTGCGGTTGTGAAAATAACGGAATAGATATATGATAAAAATAATGACAAAAAGAAACATTTTTTAAAGACAGAGATAGCAGAATTGACAGAGAGAGACGCAGATAGACTAAAAAACCCTTAAAAATTTTCTATTACATATTTAAATTTAGGTCAAAATTGACATTTTGCCTTTTGACAGCAATATGGCCGCGATTTGGCGGCATATGCGATAGCAATGGCCGCTATTGCGTTCCGGTGCGGCGCTGCGCAGTTTCTTGCGGCGAGGCACTGCAATGCCCATACGCCGCGGCTCGCAGCGCTATTGCGACGCAATTAACTACTATGGATAAAATAAATTACACGTCACATTCACAAAAACAAATTAATATTAAAAACAGCACCAGCCAAGTCCAGGTTATATAAAATCCCAGCTGAAATATGGATCCAATATCACTGACAAGAATTACAACCTGATCCTAGAACAAAAAAAAACTAGAATAAAAATGGAAATTCCAGAAAGCATTCTATGCATGGTGAAATTTAATACATTTCTCACCACCAACTCATCAGGGTAAATAAATGACTTCCGGAAAAGAAAATTAAACAATGGAATCAATGCAAAATAAAAACTTATCTACAAATTATAAAAGATTCAGAAAGAAGAAAAAGGGTCGGGGGAGGGAAGGGTGTTTATATAATATATATAAAATCCAAAGGGAAGGGCGTTTATATAATATATATATAACCCAAGTTTTGGAAACTTCGCCGACTCTGCATGCAAAAGAAGAATCGTAACTGAAGTAAAGGACATGAATTGAATTAATATTCTCAGGATTCTAGTAGATTATTCCATTATTAGGAGACAAAGTATTCTCTAGTATCACAAGTTACGATTGACCGTTGCGACGCGGTCTGTGGCAGCCGACCGCCGCACTGCAACGCACCTCCGGTATAGCGCACTGAAGCGCCGCTATAAACAAGTATGATCAAGTTACCACACAAATTCAGAATTGAGTCCTTTCGGGTGAGTTAACATGAATCTTATGTCGGAAAACTTGCAAGTCAAGATTCTATATCCTTTGATCTCTTCCCATCCCCTTGTTGATTTTCCTTCATCATACTCCTTATTACTGTTTCCATGTGTTGTTTACATACATACACTAGTAAAAACTATTTCAACGTCTGTTAGCAGCATCAAACAATATTCGCTCTCTTACCCAAGGTAGACACTAAAATTTCACTTATAAGATAGAGTTGATAAATAGGTAAACATAGCTGGTTTTAGAATCTGCCTTGGTGCAACAACCACCACCGTACAATATTCGCTCTCTTACCCAAGGTAGACGCTAAAATTTCACTTATAAGATAGAGTTGATAAATAGGTAAACATAGCTGGTTTTAGAATCTGCCTTGGTGCAACAACCACCACCATAGCCTTTTCCCACTAGATGTACAACAGCGACTACCAAAGCCTTATCCCACTAGATGAGGTTGGCTACATGAATAAAACAACATCATTGTGTTTTGTTCATTACCAATTCTTCGAGAGAATATTTAATTCTAGTTCGTTTTTCATTGTTTTACTTAAAGAGTCTTTCTTGATTTACCTCTATCTCTAATTATTGGGCTATCCTCTATCTGATTAACTCTTCTAACTAGGTTTCTAATTTCTATTGATCTTCTTCTCCCATGTCCAAATCATCTTACGCAAGATTCTACATCTTTTCATCAACAGATGCCACTAACTTTTTCTCTAACACATTCATTCCTTATTTTCGCCGACTCCAACTAGTTCGGGATAAAGGTGTTATTGATGTAGACGTTCATTCCCGATTTTATCCTTTCTTGTATGACCACTCATCCATTGGAATATTCTCATCTCTACAACCCTTATCTTATGCTTTTGCTGGCCATTTATCGCCCATCATTCAGTACCATAAAGCATCAAGCGTCTTATGACTGTCCAGAATAGTTATCCTGTAGCTTAAGAAAAACCTTTCTATCAGAAATAACAACTGAAGCACTCTTCCATTTCAACTAGCTAGCTTGAACCGTATGATTTAAACCTCCTCCTATTTCTCTATCACTTTGTATGATTAGAATCTATCTTGGTAATCACAGAAATATAGAGGAGGAGGAGGAGGAGGGGGGGGGGGGGAGGAGAATCTTATTTGATCAGTTTTTTAAGTCAAAACTAGTACCCAAAAAAAAAATCTTACACAAAGTTCATTTAAAAACTAATCAGTTTTTTAGTTAAAATAAAGATTTCCTAATTTTTGCATCCTCTCTCAATGTACTTTATTTTATATTTCAGAAAGGGATCACCAAGACTTACCCCCCCCCCCCCCCCCCCCCCCCCCCCCCAAAAAAAACAACAAAAAAAAAAAAAAAAATTGGAGTTAACCTGACTCTAATTACCTCAGAGGCAAGTTGGCTCCCCACGGTTTTTCCACAAGCTTCGACTCTTTGAGCCGGCTATGAAACTAATCTAAAGTGCGGGGCGGGTCAGAGATGAAGATATTTAAACCCCTCCCAAATAAAATTGATTTTGATATTAGACTAATTTAACCAAATTCAAAACAAAACTAAAAATTATTGAAACCAATTCAAATTCATATATACTTTAGACGAGGCAAGTTCTATTGCCCACCAATTTAATCATCCTACATTTACCTCCATTTTTGTACCGTTGGATTGTATCTAAATCAATGGCTTCCAAGCACATTGAATCCCATTACTTTGTTTAACTGAAGAGATAGAAAAAAGAGAGAGAAAGTAGTGGGATCCGGTGTGCATTGAAGCCATTTTTAGGTACAACCCAATGATGCAAAAGTGGTAGTAAAGGTAGAATGATTAAACTGGTAAGCAATATAACCTGACCCATTTAAGAAACTAGTTCAAACTTAAACAGCTCTGAACTTGTTTGAAGTTTCCCTCAAAACCCTGGTCCTTGTCACTGCCAGCCTCTGATTCCAAGTTTTGCAAATGCTAAAAGGCACAAAATCCAGCTAGAGGGCAGCATATGAATAGACTCAGTCAGAGCATCAACTTACTAGTTAAAGAGGGACCATGGGCAAGCATCTGAAAAAATAGCAGCCTACTAGAACATGATTGGTTTGTCTACTTGTAGCAAAACTGCCACTCAAAAGGTTTAATAACGCAAACTTGTAATTGTATTTACGAAAAATTATATGAATACACACACCTTCCCCCCTCGTGACGTGCATATACATTTCCTAATCTTTTCTCACATGAAGATGAAGATGAACATATCATGATAACTTGAAAATTTATAACTGCCATTGGATAGCAGCAGTTAAGATTAAGTCATACCAACTCCACTATTTCATTAAGGTCCAACAGCAGGAATAACCTATGTTACTAACACATTCACACAAACACTGAAACCTCGTACCTGTAAGGAATGTGTTGATGGGTTGAGCTATCTCTATATTTTTTCGCCAAGCCAAAATCAATACAGTAAACCTACGCGCAGATAAAAATGCATTAAATAACTTATATATTAACATACAATACATCAAAGAGCCCACATGTAAACAAGATTACCCACCTGGTTTGCCCGCCTTCCCAAGCCCATGAGGAAATTATCTGGTTTGATATCCCTATGTAGAAATGATTTTGAATGAACAAACTCAACACGATTGATCTAGCAAAAAAACAAAACACAAGTACAAATTTTTTTAAAAGGATTTAAAAAAATATTAATTGCTACAGCATTATACCAAAAGTTAATACCGGCGATAGGAATTGTAATTGTGTTTTTTTAATGATCAAAAGGGGCTAAATGCCCCGGAAGTGTTAATGGTTCATTAGTTAAGTAGTTACTTAGTTCTAATTAATTGTATAAATAGGACCTAGGGGGCCTAAATGAGTCATTAGTTCATTGTATCATTTGAATGAAATTGTTCATGTGAGCTTTATCTCCGTGACTCAAAGGAAGGGGAATTATTTTTGTATCATCGGGCCTACCATTTGATCAGCAAGCATGAGAACTGTCTTTAGTGACAGCTTTCTATTACAAAAGTTAAATAAATCTTCAAGACTAGGTCCCAGCAGGTCCATCACTAGAACATTGTAATCTCCCTCCACCCCAAACCATCTAACATTTGGAATTCCAGCTGCCAAGACCAAACTTGAGTTAGAACCATATATAAATTATAAATATGATCAACAATTAAAAGCTAGGGCTCCTTGCATAAAGGGAAAATGCTTTAAAAAAAATTGATAAGAGAATAGCCATTACTTCCTCCCTGGAGAATTCTGTACAACTTGGACTCGTACAGCAACTGAGGATGCTTTGTCTTGACATTTTCCTAATTTAAAAGTGCAGGGAGCCACAACGAACGGTAAGGAAATAAATAAAAAAGAATAAGAAAATCAGCTCTAGAGCTCTCAAAGACATCAAGAATCTAGCAAGTACCAAAGAGAAAAAAGGTCCAAAATGATCAGAAAAGTTCAAGTAGATGTCATACTAGGAATAATGTTAAGAAATACTAGGATGTTACTATATTTCAATAGTAAACCCTAGAAAAGCAGAGAAATTAGTAAAAAATTTGACATACGATTCACGTCGTAGACCTTTCTGTTTTTTAAGATTAAAGGATTCTCTTCCACAGACTTAACAATTGTGCCTAATCATCAAATGTTCCACAATCCACATCACCTACATTCTTTCTAGATAAAATGAATCCTTACAAAAATAGCAAATGAGGGAAAAAGAAGAAGAAGAAAATTCTTATGTCAATAAAGTTGGATATAAAAAGTTTAACTTGTACCCGATTACGGTTTTCAACCTTGAGGAAAAGACTCCATTTGTAGACCTCTTTAAAGTTTAATCTGTCTTAAAAGAAAATTGTTTCTTATTGACCATTGGATACAAAATTTCTTGGAGGTTAACTTTCACAAACAAATGAAGATTAATGACCAATTTATTTTCAACTAGAAAAACTAGTTACTTTGATGTTTACTTTCTATGCACAAGGTGGTAATTCTTGAAGTGATTAAAAAATAAATATATTAGAGAAACTCAGGTCACATGTTAAGAATAGTTTCTTTTTTTGGAAAAGAGAGTTTCCTATTTACAATAAGAAATAATCATGTCATTACTTCCAATACATTACCCGACCAAAGATTTTCAGAATAATGTATAAGAATCTTGAATGGACATGACTTAAAAGTAATACCATAAGCTACGTTTCAAGCTGTAACCAACCCCATCTACCAAATCTTTGGGAACTATCGGTTCATTACATTGACCACTTTCATTGATCTTGCGAAAAGCATGGTAGAAAGTTTAGTTAATATGCTTAGTGCTCTCATAAAGCAGATGCATAAGACATGAATAATCATTTTAAGGTAAGATAGTAAAGGAAAATTTTCATTATGAAATGAATGACACCTTTGTGACATATTAGAGTCATGCATGTCGAGGAAAGTAAAGTGCAATGCTGGTCATAATAATCTTATCATATTAAAAAAAAAAAAATCTACAATCTGAAACCACTCAATCATTAAAAAGAAATATTATTTCTTTATTTGAATAGATAACAATATGAATAGACGCTTGCTTTTGACAATCATCAGTCATAACGATGTCAGGAACAGTGCATCAATAAGAAGCATCTTCATTCCAATGCCTAAAAATTCACACTAGCCCACCTCATTTTTACATCTAAAAAGTATTGAAGTTAGATTCCAACTCGCTCTAAAAAGTTAAAACAAGCAAGACAATACTACAATGTTTAAGTTCTGCTTTTCAAACCTACTGCTTATAAGCAAAATTCTCACTCACACCATAATGGTTTTAATTAAAGCATCCCGTTCATCCTATTTACAGTTTTGCTTCAAATGTGTATTAAGAATTGGCAACTAAACAGTCAAAAATGTCTCTCAAGAGAATCCTTTAAGTTGCCACCACCCAGTCACCCTCCCAAAAAATAGGAAACAGCAATGAGCTCAGTGAAGACACAGTCACAGACACCAATAATAGAAGCACACACAATTCAATGACACATAAAGAACGCCAGGACAAAATGCAACCCGAACCCAAATTTCACAACCCATTGCAGAATCTGACTTCACATAAAACACCCTTTCCCAAAACAGTTTCAGATCATTCATAGCTTAACAACTGCCAACACAGAGGCTGATAAATTGTCCTCTCCTTCAGACTTCAACAAACAAATAAAGCAACAACAAAAACAAAAGTACTCAAATTCGAATATAATCTAAAACCCAATTGGTCAACAACACCACTTACTAGCTTAATCGCAACGTCTTCATTAGTTTGAATATTAGTACCTGCAGAACAACCAAAAAAAGAAAAAACCACGCTCATCATCATCAACAATAACAACACGCAAATTACAAAAAAAAAAAAAATTGAAAAAATTAAATTAAAATAAAATATAACAGAAAGAGAAAATAAAACAACCTAAATAGATCTCCCCAAACGAGCCGCTACCGATCTTCCGGCCAAGCCGAAATTTATTCCCAACGCGAGGTTCCATTAAAAATGATTAAGTTTTAAAAATTAAAAAAAAAAAAAAGCTAAATTTATTGAAACCCTAAGCTAACTAATCCCAACGCCTAATTGGAATAGAGGACAACATTTAATGCCAAAGCTCTCGAATCCAAGAAGCAGTATTCATCGATCGGATAAAGAGAGAGAGAGAGAGAAGCAGCTCCGACAGAAGAATATGAAACTGGAAAATGAAAAAAATAAAAAAATAAAAAGCGAAGAAAATAATTTAGATTAAAGTGTGAGATCTCGATTAAGAAGATAAAAGTGATTTTGTTTGAGGGTTAGGTTAAGAAAAATTGGAAATAGAAATGGAATTGGAGTACAGAAGTTGAAGCAAGAAGAAGCCAAAGAACACTCTTGTAACCGTCGGTTATTTTGAAGGAGAGAGTATTTATCATGTGATATCATAGATATGAGAAAACTTCAATGTACGGATGGTGCTTCCTTTTATCAAATTGGAAAAAAAAAAAAAAAAAAAAAAAAAAACTCCTTTGACCCCTATTTTTATTTTATAGATGTCGTTTCTTATTTTAAATGAAATAAAATTATATTATTTTAAATGAAAAAAGATATAAGTAATAAAATTAGGGATAGGATATTGTGACACCCAGTCAATCTCACCGTTAGATCGCTTATGTTGATCCAACGGTTATATTTATTTCCATCTTTGTATGGTCATGATTTCCCAAATTTAAAGTGAAAGCATTAAATATGAGAAATCATAACCATACAAAAGTAGAAATAAATATAAAATATTAAATTTAGGAAATCATGACCATACAAAGATAGAAATAAATATAACCGTTGGATCAACATAAACGATCTAACGGTGAGATTGACTGGGTGTCACATGGGTGTAACATAACTTGGGTGTCACAATATCCTATCCCATAAAATTATGGGAAAAAAATTTAAATTTTAAATAAAAAATATTAAATTATATTTTTTTCTCATGACATAATTATATATCCTTCAAAAGTATAAATATTTTTCTCTTTTTCTATATTTCACTATTTTTTTTAGAACAATTTTTTTATAGGAATAGTTACATTGATAACTTATTTTTATTTACAATTCTTACATCTTCAAGTATTTCAAAAAATATAAATACTTGAAAGTATATTCCCATGTCCCATTTTTGGAGTGTTTGATACAAGAAAAAAAAATTCTCAAAAATTATTATGTCAAAAAATATGGTGAGAAATTTTTTTATCAGAAATATTATGAAAAAATTATTTGGTAAGGTTAAACTTTTGCAGAAAATTGGATTAATTTAATTAATTTTATGTTTGATTGGTTATAAAATATTACTGAGAATTTAGATTGAAATTATAAAATTACCCATGTTTTAAGAAAGAAACGTGATAACATTGGTAAATGTCAGTTTTATCTCATAAAATTATCTCTACTTTCTCACGAGGTGAGAAAAAATAAATATCCTGGGAAAAATGATATTTGAGCTTGGAAATTTGTAATTATAATTCAAATGATGGGAAAAAAATAAATCCAAAAATATTTTCTCTTTTATTTATACGAAAAAAAATTCCACCTTATTTTCATGTAATTTCTCCAAAATTTCTCGTAGTAAAGGAGAAATTTTTTTTTTTCTAAGAATCTTAATTTTTAAAAATATAATTTTTACATTAATATCTAAAAATTTAAAATTTAAAAAAATTTAATTTCCTAAAAATTCCGTAAAAACCTTCGTACCAAACGCATCTTAAATTCTTAGAAATTTAGTCAAACGTCCGATCCCATTAAAAATTTAGGATGGGACACAACATAACGACGAAGCTTTCGAGGCGTTGTCACTGCTGTGTTGGTGGGTCCCACATCACGTGACCTTCACAGCAGTCATTTTAAATTTTTAATATCACCCTGTTTAAGTGTTAAACACCTCTCTACCGTTTCTCACGCCGTCCACTCCTTACTTTTCAAGTTTCAAATATTATTCTTCTATCAATATTCAATCCTCTTCTACTACTATGACTAAATAAATAACTAAAATTTTATTAATAATATATATTAAATAATGTAATTATTATAATTTTAAAATTTACTATTTCATATTTATTTATTTCATCTTTTAATTTAATAAAAAAAATTGAACAATATAATACTAATATTTATATTTACAATATTTCATTTATATTATTAATAAAAAATTGGTTATTTATTTTATTTATGATTATACTATCGATTAATTACTATTAAAATAATTTAATTTTTTGATATTTTATTATTATATATTATATTACATATAATATATGTGATTAGTTTTAGATTTTATTTATTTATTGAGGATTAAAAAACATGTGCAATAAGAATTTTGATAAACATGTGCTATAATAATAAAAATGTTAAGATTGTGCACGTGAGAAATTAAGTTGTGAATTAAAATAACTGGATAGAAGAATTAATTGATTAGAAATCACAATTTAATGAATAAATAAAAATGTTAACATTCTAATTTATTCTAATTTGTAAAATAATCAAAATTTGTGCTACTTATATACTACTTTTCTTATTAAAAAGTATTAATGAATGCATATTACCATAAGATTATTCCTAATTGTTTTGCATTCGCATCTATCGAGATAAAATAACTTTTTTAATAATATTTATATAACTATTAATTTAAGTGATAAGAAATTTATTCTCTTTTAACTTGTGGTTTCAACTTCAAATCTTAAAAATTAAGAAATAATTCTAATATTTTTATTAGGAGTATTAAGTTATTTGTTTGAAAGTAAACTTGGAGATATTGTATTTCTATTTTTGGTATAAGTTTTTGAGAAAGATTATATTTATAAATTTTTTGTTTAGAAATTATATTATGTACTATGAGTAGTATATACTACTTGAGCATGTGCTACTCATAATACATAATATAATTTATAAAAGTTTGTAAATATAATCTACTCTTAAGTTTTTAAATAACATTTATTCATATAAAAATGATTTATTCACGTTTTACGTTATCTTTATTGTAATGACAATAAATAATTATATTACTTTCTCATTGAAATGGAAGTTATGTTTCAAACATTAACTTTCACCCTCTCTTCTTTCTTCCATCATTTAAACTTTAAAAAACATTCTCAAAAATATTAAATGTTTTCATATTTATCTAAAATTAAAATGGGAAATGATTCTGTGGTATTGCACGAAAAATTTATTTTTTCCTGCACAGCCATCAAACTTTGAGCTTTGTTTTCTTTTTGAAATCTATGTACTTATATATCTCAGTAGAAAAAAATTCTTATCTTCTGTCATACTAGAAAATGTAATCCCAAATAACATTTACGGACAACAACAAAAAGTGAAAATAAGTGGGTAGTTGAGTTGTACTAACTAAAATTAATCCAAAATAAAATCATTAAAATTGATATAGTGATGAAGAGTTTTGATAGTTTACATGAGATCATAAATTTAAATCTCAACGCTCTCATCATATCAAAAAAGAAAAAAAAAATCCATAATCAGTAACATGCACTTGATGTTGTGAGTCAAGATTATAAACCGCAGTAATATGCGAAATTAAAATAGATCTAAAATTTAAATAAAAAAAATTATTTTGTATCTATCTCTTTCTTAAAATGACATAATTTTATGTCATTTAATTTTCTGGTTTCACTTGAAGGTGTAGTCGCTTCCCATAATGACAATGTAGCAGTCCGCCCCCAGTTACCAGATTTCGTCAATCAATAAAATATCCATCAAGAATGAGTTTAAATTAACTTAATTTATGTGTATATAATATGATGTTTTTTATTTAAAAAAATTAGATATGAGATTAATCATTAGAGTACTATAACTTTGACGAGCTCGGACTATTGACATTGCAAATGCCAATCAACCGATGAGTTCAAACTACATACGACCAACGTGCATAAGTTGGAATTTTTCTATAAACAAATTGTCATCCATATTTAAGAAAGTCTTCAAGACATTGAGATAAGCTAATTTAGAGATGTTAAAATGGATCAACTCGCCCCATTAGATTCTAACACGTGTTAATTGGGGCCAAAATGTCTATAGAGTCAAATGACTTCTAATAATAAAGGTCTGCATAGGCAAAAGCCTTATGGGTTAGGAACAACTCGTGAACTATTTTAAAATTTAATTTAAGAAAATTTAATTTTTTATTGTATTTAATACCTTCAAAATTATTTTAACAAATAAATATATAACGCTTTCATAAAATATTTTATACAAAATATAAATTTTTCATTTTTCAATTTTTTTTAATAAAATAATATTTGTACACAAATATACAAGTAAAAACGTAAACAAAAATTTTAATATAAGTTAAAATTTAATTTTATTATCTTTGTTGAGTTTTATTATTAAAAGATGTCATCAAATGAAGATTTTATCACGATGAGTCACAAAAACACCATTCCTGAGAGCAACTATAGTGAAAAAGCAAAAGGTGCATGGAAAAATTGTTAGGAATGTGGTTTCCATACTCAGGAAGGGGTGAATTGAGTATTATAAGATTTTCGCAAAAATCTTCTTCTAGTTTTTAAATAATCATTTCAAGCAAACTTTGATATGTGAAAAGCTAATCAATACATTCAAACAATCCATAATATATAATATATCACAATTATAGAACTTATTCTAGCACATACAAGATATCAAAGAAGAAATTAAAATGCTAGAAATAAAGAGTTTAGAGAATTGCAAACACAATATATCCTGGTTCGGTCATCACCACTTGTGACCTACGTCCAGACTGAAGCCACTCGATCAATTCTTTCATTAATGGTCAAGCTTTAAGGGTGTTTGACAAACCTTTACAATCTTTCAAGACTTCGAGTTCTTGGATACCACAATCTCCAAGTTTACGGGTACTTGGCAACCTTACAATTCACTCCAAATTTACTTAGGTATTTGGTTACCTCTCAAACAATGGGTCTCACAACCCTTTCAACTCAAGAATACAAGGAGAAAAATATTTAGAAATGAATATACACTCTCAAAGTGTGGATATACAACTTGAAGCACTATGAGTATATGGATTTTCAAGATATAAGCTCAAATATGTTTGATCTTCGAAAAATATGAAATAATATGAAAATGATAATGAAGAAGCTCTCAAATCATCCTTAAGATGTGTAGGAATAGTGATCAATGCGTTTTAGGGTCATAAGAAATGTATTTATATTGATTTTTCTCAAAACTACTCGTTTATAGCCGTTATAGGCTTTTTGTCGCCTGGGGAATGGATTCCCATACTTATGGATCGATTCCCAACCTTTCCAGGAAGAGGGAATCGATTTTCACATGGTGATAATCGATTTCCTAGTTTGGGAATCGATTTCCATATGCAGGGAATCGATTCCCAACCTGTTGGAAGGCTGAAAATTTGA